AAGTTGGGTTCAAATTATTCGCCCAAATGTGGGAGCGAATAATTTAAAGCTTCTTACACGTGCTAATAGTGCCAACGCACTAAACTCGAGGTCTCAGGACTTGACAAATGACGATTACGACGAAAACGACCTCAGAATGGTAATGAAAGTGATATAGGACTAAATTCGACTGAGAAACCACCTCATTTGAATACATGACAACGCACCCGACATCTCATTTCAGTGAGGAAATAAAATTCCTCTTTCTATAATAACGCCCACCCCAATGAACATTTCAAGAAAAGTTAAAATACGATTTTTAGAGAAAGAAAAATACAGCTGAAGATAAGAGCGATTACACACGACGACTTCTAGCAGCGCTGCAATCGTAATGCAGTCGCTAATCGTCTGCCTTTACACACACTTTAAGAAGCGATGCAAACGCGATGCAGTCGCCCGTTTGCATCGCTGCAATCGCCTATAAATACCAAGTAAAGCGAAGTAATCGCGCGTTTCACGAACGCATCGCATTTGCATCGCTGCTATAAATCGCGTTGTATAACCACTCTTACATAATATATTGCAATATATTTAGAGTTACATATTTGCCCAAGAACATGAACGAAAAGTCTACTATCTCTACTATCTCTATCTACTTCTTTCCTGTGTTAATCAACCAATACATGCAGGTTATTCCTTATACGTATGAAGGATGTCAGATGTAATCTTGAAATCGATATATAAAGATTGCTTTCAATATTTATTTGATTTTACAAATTGGAAGTTGGAATCCTGATGAGCCAGATAAATATTTCTGCAGGATTTAAGTTCCTGTGCTTGTGACGTAAATAAAGAAACTCATTTTTTTCCACAAAGCCTTGCTTCCACAAGTTTGAATAAAGAGGCTGTGGAAAGTTTGAATATGTTCGCGACGTAATGATTAGGTGCTTGTCAAGAGATGTCACCCCCTTCCCCACCAGTACGCACTGGATTCCCCCCAGCGCCCTTCACTGGGCACCTGTCGATGCTAAGCCATACTGATCGAGACCTGTCATTTGGAAATACTTAGGTACACCATTATATGTATTCATGTTGAGTGTCCAGAAGTTTGTATATAGAGGCTGTCAGAAGTTTGAACGTGTTCGTAACGTGATGATTAGGTACTTGTCAAGTGATGTCACCCCCTTCCCCGGTAGCACGCGCTGTAATCCCCCCAGAGCTCTTCACTAGACACCTGTCGATGTTGAGCCAGACTGATTGGGACTTCTGTTATTTGGAAATACTGAAGTATAGTATATTTGTATTCATATTGCGTGGATTCCTATTATTTATCGACGTGGGCGCGCGGAACAGTTCAATGTTGTTTTGTGACGAAAACGAGACAATGTTTATTATTGTCTGTAGACTAGATTCCTTACAAAAATAAAAAGGCGAATGACGTCGTACGCTTATTTAATTAAAACTTTTATCCCAATTACGGGAAATTGTCTGGGTTACTAAGGGAGTTAGTTTTGTGTCGTTCTGTTTATTTTGTCTGTTTGCGGCGAGTGGAATGTTACGAAGTACGGAATAACTAACCGACGATAAATCTCGCTTACACACTTAAACAGCGGTGGCGAAGGGCCGACCGTCCACTGTCGGCTAGACAACAGGGCAAGTGTTGCAAAGTTCAATCACCGCTGGTCCCCAGGGTTCACTTGACTCACTTAATTACCCATCCCAAATTCTGCGCAGATAATAAAGTTAAATTGAGCAAATTGCACAGGTGACCGACATAATGCGAACTCGTTGTTACACAGTTTTAATGGTGGCAACCGCGAATTTCGCCTTTTAACAGCCACTTAAAACTTGTCTTGTTAATAGCGATCGCATCACTTTTGAACTATGTCAATTAGTTTCATTACGATAATTAACGTTATATGTTACGGCTTTAAATACCTTTTATTTCACTGTACTTTTTTAAATTTTATTTAATGGATTGAACTTTGTCGTTAACGAAGGGAAATTGAATAAGTAAGATTGTTCGAAAACTCGAGATCAAATTAATTTCACCGAACGTATCTCAACGCATTTGTAATTGAAATAAGGTCTTCCCTTATTCCTAAAATGATTTTTAAAATATTCTAACATAAATGTGAAATTAAATGATAACAATTTGTAAATGACAACAAGTGTCGATCCCGTGACAATGCGGCAGTACGGTGGCAGTCCTTGCGGCAGTTTACGTAAATTGCACCAATTTTCCGTCAACCACTCGCCGATGCCAATTGGATTACGAATCGAATTTCATTCGCCTAAAGCGGTGCGGTGCGCCATGTGAGCTCTCATTTACCACACTATGAACACGTTTAAGGGACTTACAAAGCTTTTACTCCTGTATGACGGGGCTAAGAATTCTGACACCTATTCTGTAAATATTGAAATTATTGTTTTTTTTAATTTATTGACATTTTTATTGTTTTTCTGTTTTTCAGATTAAAGGTTCACAATTAATAAAACAAAACGTACATTAACCCAGATTTGCACATTGTGCAATGTGCAGTCGTCATTTACCTATACAATATAAAAATTAGAATAAATTAAATTAATTATTAATAATAATTATTTTAAACTCATATTTCAAAATAAAGTATAATATTTTTTCAATCATAGGTACTTACCGTAAATCGGAATGGTCTTTGGAAAATTAAAAATAAGGTTCTAGTTCTTATTTTATTTTCATTATAGCTCTATACAAAATTTATAATTAAATATAATGGTTTGTATTACATTACACATAACTGATCGATGACTTAGCCATCACAGTTATCCCTGACCATGGCACCTGTAAAGGGCCCGAAACGTTGGTTGTTTGAAAAAATAGATATATGCGATCTAGATTTTTTATAATATCAAGTTACTGGACGAACCAGTTGTGCGCCTGATGGTAAGCTATAAGCCTGTCCATAACAGTTGCAATGCCACTCAGAGTTTTAAATCACAAAGATCTGAGGGGCACTGCAACTGCGCCTGTCACCCCGAGCCATAAGTTGACAAATCCCATATGCCTGTAATTTCATCAGCAGTCTTACCCTTCAAAACCGGAACGCTGTAATGATCACAGTACTGCTTGGCGGCAGAAATAAGCTAAGGTACTTCACTAGACGAACTTTTTTACAAGGAGCTCTACTGCTGCTGTGATCCGAAATTCGAAAGAATAGTTTCATGTCCAATAAGTAATAATCGCGAATACTATATTAAATTACGCTAAAAATATAAGTAATACAATATTTCTGTGGACATATTACGGACAACACGCTCAACATATTTAAAACACGTACATAACATCTTAGATTATGGATCAATATGTAGTTAGACGTGAGCTAGTACCGCTTACGTGACAAACAACCTTCTACTTGGCATTGATAGCTGACGAGCGCTGTGAAGTTACAGGACATTGGCCTTGTTTATGATTCGGTACAAAAGAAAAATAAACTAAAAAAAACGGTAACACTTTTGTGCACAAAGTAGAGAACATTAATAGAGAGAATCTCGTTTATCTCAACTTATCAAACCAATACTACGAGTCTACACATAAGTAATTCGCCCGACGGTGTTACTGCTATTTGAAACCAAGTTACCTACTTGTAAATAATTAACGGGTACACCTTCAGGTATCGCAAATTATTTACAAGTAGGTAACTTACACGCGTACAGATAGTTGTAAACATTCGTTCGTTCGACAAGTTGTGTCAACGACACACACTCAGTTTATGGGTTTAATATGTTAACTAAATGCAAATAACTACACCATGTAGATACGCTCTGAGATAGGCGCTAATGGTGTGAATAAATTTCCTTAACGCGCACTTTGATATATATAACCATTGTCATGTGTTTTCTTATAAACATGGGGTATTACAAGGCTGTAATTACATGTCACAACACATTTCTATAAACGACGCGTTCATTATAAACGGTTACAAAAATTGTAACCAGGCCGAAACATCGGGGCAAAAGATAGGTGTGCAAATACTTGTTAAATTGTTTTATGACGTTGAGGATAAACGTGATAAAACCCATTTTGTAATGTTAGCATAATGCAACGCCAAAGTTTGAAATTGTGTAAATAAACTTTGTATACAACACTTGCTCAATCTTAACATCTTATCGTAGTGCAAAAAAACGCGTGACTTAATAAATTTCAAACTTCGATCATTAGTAAAGCGGTAGACCCGGGAAGATTGCGTCGCCGTCAAACGCATGCAAGCCTTACAGTGGAATCCCAATTCGCCTCTTTCGCCATGCTACTCTATTAAGGGCGCGTGCTTAGAATCGGCATGCGCTCATTACTCCGCCCTATTCATTACACGGTAATATAACTAACGACAGCCGTATTAGAGTATCTCACCGAAAGCAGTTATTTTCAATGAAGTCGCTCGCTTCGCATCACTTTGCCCGTTCCGCTAACACGACGCGGGAGGAGTTCGCATATTAACACTTAGCACCCTCGGAAGAGCCGCTCCGGCTGCGCCTTTAGCACCATCCAGTATGTTTATATGCTCTCGAAATTATTGCGAGGGTAAAATTTGGTACAATACCTTATCACACCTGTAATGTAATTTTGTACACTTGTATATCGTCTCTTATCGTTATCACCACTTTTCTTGGAAATGATTATAGATTTTTGTAAACTTTCTGCAGCCCTTATATAAAAATGCCGATCACTATAATAATTAAGTAAGACAATTATAAGGTAGACAATGCACTTTTTATGATACCTCTGAGACATAAGCTGACAAGTCCCACGTGCCTATAATTTCACCAGCACTCTTACCCTTCACAACTGAAACGCAATAATGCTTACAATGTACTGCTTGGCAGCAGAAACAATTAAGGCTGTACTTCGTTAGACGAACTCTTTCACAAAGAAATGATACTAAATGTTTACTTTCTTTTAAGGATTATCGTACTGCATACTTCGACAAATTAAGAAAAGTGATAAAACGGCTTATTGTGTAATGTAGGGTTTATATTTGCAGTATACGAGCGGCGCGACGATGGGCGGCGGCTGCGGGGCGACAGGAACACGAGTGCCGACAGCGGCGTCGCCGGCTAATACTGCGTCATCATCGTCATCGAACACGGGGTCAGCAGGAGGAACTCGCTCTACCAGCCTGAGTACAGCCCCCCCGCCCCCCGCTTCTTCAGCATCGACTACGGGCGCCCTCGGCGAACAACTCTCGCGCACCAATCTCTACATTCGCGGCCTCAACCAAAACACCACTGATAAGGACCTAGTCCAAATGTGCCAGATGTGAGTATTCTTTATCGTGTATACCTAGTTAAGTGTGACGTGTTAGTATGTAACACTGATATATATTTTGCGAGTATCACATGATTTATTTTCAGCGCGAAAATTTTTAGGCACAAATGTTTTGGAGAATTTTAACCAAGCATACTGCAGCAGACTTGGTGCTATTTTGTATCTAAGACAGTACTGATGGATAGTTCATTTTTAATTTGCACATAAATGTTTTTCACTTTCAGGTACGGCAACATTATTTCAACAAAAGCAATACTGGATAAAAATACGAATAAATGTAAAGGTAAACAACATTCGTACCGTACGTCTTTCCTTACACTTTCCATAGCAACTTTAACTTACCTCTAGACACAGTAACTGTGCATAGATTTTCACATATGTATATAAAATATTATATTTCGATTTATGTACGTATCTTAATAGATTAAAATGCATCAAGATAATTCGTAACTGAATTATTTAATGCCGTATTAATATTTTCTAGAATACCATATACCTTCATTAAACTAATCGATCTATGGTGAGACTTTTTCCAATATATGCACGAACGCTAGATATATCGGTTTGTTTTATCAATTTGATTTATATATTTTTATAACATTTCCATACTATGTTTATTTCACAATTATGTACTGTAGAATCATCTTCACAAAGTAGCACTATAGCACAAAACGAATATTTGATTATTATATCTCGTTGGACGATGCGATGCACAGTTTTTATCTATCACAACGATTTATCAAAGTCACATCTCATCACGCTACTTACGAGCAGGCAATATATACTCGGTATCATTAGTTATCGTCATTTACCAGTGTATTATAGTTGATTACTTATTTAAGATTTTAGATACCCTATTGTAACCAAGCATGATTCATTCTACTCATACCGGAAAATGAACCAGATGTTGTTATAATCCCATTATTATAAAATGTTTTCACTTTTGTTTGTACAGGTTACGGTTTTGTAGATTTTGAGACGATCGTGTCGGCGGAGGCAGCTGTTAAAGGATTACAAGCGAAAGGTGTTCAGGCCCAGATGGCTAAAGTGGGTATCTGGTTCCTGCGTAGACTGAACCGTGTACGTTGTGCATGCAAGTAATACTATTTATGACTAACCGCCTGCTCCTAATCCGCTCTCTTTCAACCCGATTTCGTCCATCATTTTAAAATTTTAAAAAAGGTTCTCGATCGTAATTCCAAACACGTTTCCTAAATCCTGTTACTATTTCAATTTGTTTTACCATTAATTCGACAAGAGCGTTCACGTCAGTTAACAAATTTCGAGTCACGATCTATAATCATCAATAAACATTTACTTTAAATCATTTGTAAGTAAATTTAAAATCTATCTAACTAATAAAACAAACAAAAACAGCAAAACATTCATTTTCAGAAATATTATTTTGTACAACCGCCTTGTTCAGTTTTGTGAAATTTTCAGAATAAAACATTTTTTGATAGTCAGCATTATGCATTATGTTCTTTTCTTTGGATGTTTTTGTAATACCAGCCAGACTCAGCAAAACTTATACAATTCCTTTCACCCTCCTTATTGATCTTACCTCGTGTTCCTCCTACCCTTACTTATAGCTTTAGTATTTACCTATTATCTATGGAATAAGTGCTGTAAAACTCAACTACGCATCAACAATAAAAGCGTGTTGTCTATCGTACAATGTTTGTTAGATTCAAAATTTTATGCATATTTCCGTAGTATCCGAGTCCTGTCCCTTGTTTGGAGATAAATTTAGAATTTTACCCCCTACTACTGTAATACGTATAATATTTGTTTCATTGAATAGATGTACGAAACCTGTTTAGAATGTAGGTCCTGTTTAGATCAGCGACGAAAAATGGGCAGTTAACATTCGGAGCATAATGGTGACTTCACCACAGGGAAACATGTCCTAACTCATTCATTTGTCATTCATTTTGGGATCCTCCACAAGCGGTATTTGCTCTATCAGCGTCCAATCAATCGAACAATCTAACACTAATGTGTTGTAAGTATTTATCCCCTACAATGGTACGCAAACGTAACGCTTTTCTTAATCTATACTTCAAACATTGTTTCATCCTATTGATTCTATTCTATTGTCGTATGCTTCAGCGTTATAACGATGTATAATTGTATTTTCGCTACTGGGCTCGGGTATTCTATGCTTTCAATATTATACCTAAATTAGTGTGTATGCGACTTTTGACTAGCTTCATAATCTCTATGCTGATGTACATGCCCATCTCGTTGACAATCCGTAACATTATATTAGATCAATCTGCTGATTACGTCAGAGCTGGCTTCAGTGTCTAGATTATCTATGCGGGCTTCAAGCTATTGTACTACCAAATAACATTCAAGTTCTGTGTCAGGTATCTAATCTCCATATAACATGCTTAAAATTAATTACATAGTACAAATAACAGTAAAGTCACGTGCATTTTTGTAAAATCCTCACGAACTAAGAAATAAATGAAGGAAAGTTAAAAATAAATGTAATATACAATAACATTCAATTTTGACAGTCATTGAAGTTACACGATATATCATGGTAGACTATAGAGCAGATACTTCAAGTTTTCCTTTGGGGTGTTTGCAGCAACAGGAACAGGATCCGACCAACCTATACATGGCGAACCTGCCCCCGCACTTCAAGGAGAATGACGTGGACCAGCTTTTGGCCAAGTTTGGCCAAGTAGTCTCCACGAGGATCCTGCGGGACACCCATGGACATAGCAAAGGCGTCGGCTTCGCCAGAATGGAATCTAGAGAGAAGTGTGAGCAGATCATCCAGGTAAACAATTGGACTAAATATAGTTACAATAGTGCATTTAACGCTAATAATGTAATCTACCAGCGAGTTAAAGCTAATAAGTTTAAAGAGGAAGTAATGCTATTTCATGCGTACTAATGGATGTGCAAGCTATTTTGGGTATGACTACCGTTTCTTGAGGAACAAACCTTATGAGTTAAATTAAACTTTATTAAATTAAACATTAATAGTGTAAAGAAAATTTCTGCAATAAAACATTTTTATTATAATAATGAATGACGAAAAATTAAATAGATATAATATAATGTGGAATTCGGAAATATGGACCAAACAACAGCTATTATAAATCAAGACTTACTTTAGTTAACCAAAACAAGAATCTACATCTACATAACATCTGCGTGATCAACTCCAACTAACATTTTTTTCTCAGATGTTCAATGGGAACCCAATCCCAGGCGCCAAGGAGCCTCTACTGGTGAAATTCGCCGATGGCGGTAACAAGAAGAAGGCGCTGTACAAACAAAACGACAACAACAGCAGAGCGTGGCGGGATAATACTGAATCCATTACGCAGGTGAATACGACTATATCAATAAATATATTGTGAGTAAAGTAGTGTAGGTAACAATAAAACGGCGTCCCTATTTTCTTGGATAGACCGAGCTTTTTTTAACTTCTGTCTGAACCGTAATAAATGTTCCCAAGATTGACAATTATTTTATTTGCAGTCCTTGATTTTTTTAACGCACACACTCAAGATATGCCCGCACTAGGGAAACCCTGTGTCGCGGGTGCCATGGACACACACATACACATGTACAGGGTCAAGAGCACGTCAAGCTTGATACTAAAGGTTTTAATTTAATTCTATGCCGCTTGCAATAAGAACGGTCCAAAGTACAAAGTGTCAAGCTTGATGTGCTCTTGACTGTACATACACATAGACATCCACAAATTACACCAAAACTTACGAGAGAAATAAATGTAGGCCTTACAAATATTTCTCCCGGCCCAGGAATCGAACCTGAGACCTCTAAGTGGCAGTCCGCCATGGTAACCGTTCGGCCACGAAGGCAGTTAAGATTTATACTCTCAAGTCTTTTTATTGAATTTTGTGCTGTACTCAATAGGCCATGGGTGTGGCCAGCGTGTACGCCGGAGTCGGTACCGGCGCGGGCGCCGGTGGAGAGTGCGCAGGGATGTATCGCGGTGGCGCGGGTGTATACGGCATGGCGGCCTTCCACCACCCGCAACTCCATCACCACCATCATGCGGGCCACCCTGCAGCTTGGCTGGCGCCCTACGCCGCACTCATCCCTCCTGCGCACCCCGCGCACCATGCTACACACCCTGCGCATCCAATACCCATCGACTCTGTGCCTAGCCAATACGTAAGTTCTTTCAAAATCTACCAGCGTACCAGTTTGTAGAGAATTATAAAGACACCTATCAAACGAAAAAATCCTAAATATTTTTTTGATTGGAGAGGCTAGCAGGGATCGACGACCTACTTGAGGCGACACAAGAGAATTAGAATCAATTTATATGACAATATATTGAATTGAGACCAAGGGAATGGAAACATATTGTTCGATTTAAAATTACACGGGCCGGCCTTATCTCTCACCGATGTTAAAGAGGAACAATAGTCAAACGACAAAATCCAAAAATGACTGTTGTTTATTCTCTGTTTTCCAGGTAAACTGGGACAGCTTAAGGCCGGAAAATGAATTATACGTGAGTTTGATTGATGTATTGCTGTCGAGCTGTACGCTATAACCTTTCACGTCCCTGTGCTTATGGCCCTCCGATGTACTGCGCCTCACTCGCTTCCTGTGCCACATGTAATCGCACCGCACCTCTGCCACCCGGAGAGTACGAAGGGATTAAACGAGACTAAAACGGACTTTGATATGTTTCAGTACTTCGCATCGCACCCATACCAGTACTTTGCGGGTCCCACGCCGCCCATCATCCAAATGCCGATGGAGAGCGAGCACGCGTCGACGGCGGCGTCCCCTGACGAAGCCTACCAGCCGTATCCGCCTCCCAAGTAGACTAAGCCACGCTACAATCCGTGCTGTACACGAGCCAAAAATCAAAGTAACTGTGACTTTTACATGTTAATTTGTTTTAGTTTTAATTTGCGGCCGTTATAGACTTCATCGAAAGCTCGGCGGGCGGCGCGCTCGTGTCGTCGGCACCTTCTAATTGTTAAGGCTAATTAAATTAATTATTCTTTGTCGACGCGACTATTTATTTTTCGAGGGGTCGGTCTCGAATCCTCTTGGCTTTACGCTGAATGTTCGATTCGCTGTGATGTTTTGATGAGGTCTTTTGACGGTTCGAGAAGAGGATTTGATGTATAGATATAGCTGCAATTTTAAATGTGTTTTTACATTATAATTTTATTATTGTTTTATGAAAAATTAAATTTAAGATTTTAGGCGCAGGTTTTGAACATGTTGACAAGATTATTTAAGATAGTTAGGTATTTATTTTAGCATAGTATAATTTCATGAACTAAATTTTAATTGTCCTTTGGACGAGATTGATGATTTATTTTTATTTCAGTGTCATATTTAAAACTAAGGGAACTGAAAAAAAATGAGATCACAAAATGAAACTTTGGTATCGAACAAAATCGTGCAATCCAAACGAACAGTTTCAATATAGGCATAGTATTTTAAGTGTTGGCAGAGTATGATTCGTTGGTTTGGAGTTTATATTCCGGTGTCATCGGGAGGAGGAAAGCAATATCTGAAGCGATCGGATAGGAGGATAAGTGGAAGTGGTCATATCATGTGGAATCAAAATTTATACAAACTAAATTGTAAAGAATAAAGGAGTGACGTATGTAAAGGTTAGAAATTGGTGGTCACACCGAGTAGAATCTTATACTGTAAAAAATCATGAAGATTTAGAATCTTCCGTGAACTAAGTATTTATAAAATACAATAGAAAAGGTAACTCTATAAGTCAAGTTGTGTTTAGACAGTAAATTGAAAACGAGCAGCTTCAAAAAGCTGAAGTGTGAAAAATTTCATTGAAACAGTTGGCACTTGGAATAAGTATCTTTGGCAAACTTGTGAAGTAACGGTCGTGAATACGTACGTGTTTATTATATATGCAAATGTGTTTGGCATGGTGCTTTAATATTTTATTTTCAAATGGTACTATAACTATGAACATTACAGTATTATCTACATAAAGAAACGCATGGCTAAATGGTGCAGTCTTCCATGGATCGCAAATAGATGTGTAAAAGCTTTACAAAAAAAAAGATTACGACTAAAAATGATAACATATTCAAACCTCATGTGCCTGAATATCTTGGCCGAGAATTCATATAGTAATAATAGATTATAAATTAATGCTAATGGTACATTAGTGTACTTATAATAAGGTGTAAATGTCCCATGTTTAATTTCAATTCTCCCTCATACATGTACTTGCAAATCATCACAATTAGTTTTAATTAGTTCATTTCTTTCGCCTGTACATACAGAATTATTCGATACTTTGAAACGTCGTTGCCAAACCTGATTACAGACTGAATTTACGTATACTGTAAACTTCCAACATTTGCTGAACCGCGTTTTGATCCGCAAGAAACCCAGTTAGAGTATGTGAGTGAGCCAGGGGGGCAGTGGTCATCCGAATCTCCCTCACCCGCAATGGGTAGTTGACTTCCATGGTAACGTCTGCGCTTATAGGCACAACCGTGCATTAATACGGCAACATTAGCAATAAGCAGTTGTATGTAAAGTCTATTTATACATTTTACGAGTCTATACAAATTTTTGTACGTTAAAACTCATGTTTGAATACGTGAATAACGAAGTGATCCTTTTTTGAGAATCATGTACTGAATGAACTGTAGTTGTTATTTTGTAGGCGGTCGGCACATTCCATTAGAAAAACTTCAAACAAAAATTCCACGATTGATTTCCACATTATAAAAATGAAAAGGATTTGAAATCCAAAGTGTAACACCGTTTTGGTGTAAGTGAGCACTTTTTGTACCATCACGTAGGTTTTGGGTACACTTTATGACTTTATATGAAATTTGATATTTTTATATTGAATATATATAAATTATACATGGATATGTATACATGTATATACATTGTTGATGGGTACGAGTAAAAACCTACTATATCGCAACTGTTTAATTCTATTTTGGCACGACAAGAGTTTCATCAGAACCAAAGTATACAAATCATTAAAGTCGAGTAAGAAGTAGGAAAATATTTATACAACTCAGGGACTGAAGACTAGTTAAATGTTTGATATATTAACTGTATTTTAACTGACGTTTAAGCGATAACCTCTTTATTCAAAACCTGTGACCCGACTTGCAATCAATACAGGAACTGAGACTAGCTGACAACAGGTTTTGAATGAACAAAGTAGATTTTTCGAACGAGACTATGTAGATCTGTATTTATTGTTTGTTTCATTCTCTTCTCATGAGAAGGCTGAAATTGTACTGTTGTTCTGTAATTTATTACTTTTGGGATGTACATAATGTAAGCTCGTGAACTGTCACTACTAACTCAACTAACAACTCGGACTTGGAGCACAGCACTCAGTAGTTATAGGTGTACCAGAATCTGATGGCACTTAGTCAAATTTAAATTTGTAGTGGGCAACATCACTACATTGATGTTGCCCAGGAAAAAATGTACTGGATATTTCATATATTTTAATTGACCAGAATTGATCTATCCTCGTACATGTTTTAAGATCTGTATGAATTTGTGTTAGAAAACGTTAAGTAATTTCTGACACATTTTAAAATTAAACAAAAATATATCAATTACATTGTAGTAGAAAGATTTATTTACGTTTGTAGTTTGAAGTAACTTGCATTTATGCCATTTTTTTATCCAATCATTGTCTACACAATGTAGTCTTGCCGACCAGCACTAGTACCAACGAAAATTACGTACCACATGCGTTGATTTGGGTTCATTAAAATTTCAAAGATCAAGTTTATTGACTCCTACTACGATTAGTATCAATCTTGCCGATGCAAGATTTGAGACCCGCTTCTAAATCGTGAATTGTGACTTAGATGCACGTAATTCTTCGCCGATTTTGAGATAAACTTTTACAATGTTTTTTGCTTAAGATTGAAGCGGATTCTCAGTAATATTGCTGCATAACCGTTATTTTAAAATGAAAAAAGTTTAGCAGACAGCCATTTGACACTAAGTACTAAATATTTTGAATTGACGTGACAAGTTAACGTCGCCAGGTGAAAGTCGTTCGATTTTTCTAATATTTAATGCCATGAGATTCTGGTACACCATATCTACTTAAATCGTGCAAGTGCGGCGAGACGCGGCGGTGACGTCAAAAGAAACGCACTTTTCCCACTCGTATCTCACCTTACAAAAGCAAATAAAAGTGAGCGAGTAAACGTTCTATACTTAATAATACTCCGTAGATCAGAATAAGCTCGTGCAGTAACTGATCAAGCCAAATTCATTGAACTGACTAAGACACCGCCTTTAATTCTTTGTGAAAATGTAATAACCATGAAGTGCAATGTAGTACCGAGTTCGCGTGGTACTTAGTTAAGTAATTGATCGTTTAGTGTTCGACGTACACTGTGGCTTCCTGTAAAAACAGTCTTCCGATAGATATTTCCGCTAAAATTTGCATTTAAAATTGATGTCGACGTATACACGAATTGTTTGTTTAACTGTAAGCGTGCACTTCGTTTTGGTTCGTACCGATGGTTTGTCCGTTAACCCCTCCCGGATCAGTTTTAAAGAGTCGTGTAAACGTTTCGTGCTCTGATAGCGTACCTGTGTTTTGTCCCTCATTCAATGCAATATGTTGTTCCCTCGACTCTGTAATGCAATAAATTAAGAAAACCAGACACCAATATATGTGATTTGTAACGTAGTAGGTTTCACGGTCCCGTGTAGAGAACCGTAAAAAGCAAAGTATTTTAGCACGAAATTATTTTTCTAATGCTTTCCTTCCATGATAAGCAATAATATTCGTTTGATGGTAGTGCCTTCAGCTTCCTTTAAAGTAAATATCAAGTAATGAATACAATATAGCAGTTGCATGTGCTTTACACAATATTTTTACAGGTAATAGAGAACTTACCGTATTCATAAACGTAGTGATAATGTAAAAACTATGCTTAAATATTTTGTATTAACAACTGAACAAGATAATGTGGCTGTCTAATCGTTGCATTTTTCACACATGTAAAAATTGAATTCGAAGATAAAGTCGTAATGTTCCTAGTGTCACTTAAGCATTCTAGACATGTGTGATAAACATCAAGTCACAATAACTACTTGAAGATCACCGTGCAATGGAAGTATGGCGAACAGTAGTAACAACCATGAAATCGATAACAAGCACAAAGATGCATATTGGGGATTTCGAGGAACCAGTTCTTGGATACCAAAACACAACTGCAAATCATGTCGAAGAATAGAAGTGTTAAGTAAATGTTTTTAAAATAAGTCGTTAATATAAGAGAACGCTCGTTTTGAAACAGTGAATAGTGAAGCTATAGGAACGACGACGGAATGACGGCTAGTTCATATTATTAGGGTTAACTATAGATAGGTTAGTATAGAAAAAAAATGTTTCGACGCTAAGAGATGGTTAGATTAGAGCCCTAGATTAATATATTCGGAGAGTCGAGGCGGGGCGGTTGCGGCGCGCGGCGGCTGTAGGGTAGTTTCCTTTGTTAGTTTATTAAATAATTTAATTTGAATGGACTGAAGCGGCCGAGCACCTCGCCCGCCGCGCACCCGGCACTTCTAGCGTAAGGAGATATAAGATTACTTGTGAACACATTCTTGAGGTAAGTTTCAGTTGAACAAGTTTGCTTTCACCTCTTTTGTTATGTAGTTGACTAAGTGTAAAGAAAGAAATAATTGAAAAAAAAAACTGTCGCAAGTGTCGATACGAATGTATTTGTCCAATGTGTATTAATTTAGTGTGGTGTTCTACCCAGCAGACTAGTCTAGATAGTAGAATAGTTTAGATAAAACTTTAGTTAGGTAGTCTAGAAATACGAAATGCAAAAATAAAACTTCATAAAATGTAAAAAAAAGAAATGAAATTGTTGGTAAGAAAGAATATTTTTAAGGGACATGTTGCTTCGTTGTGTTATGATGAGGTTTGGCATAACTATGATAATAGTGTAAAAACGATTCTCGCAGAGAACAGACAGAGGAGTTATGTATCTATTTTGTTAAATAAAAAGTTTGCAAGTTTCTACTTATATGCTATGAGCATTTTATGTGTGACCCGCATTATTTATAGTTATGCTAAATGGAACTAAGATAATATATAAAATAAAACAAAATGGTACTAAGAAGCATGTTTTATTGTGACGAGTCATGTTCCTTTGCATTGAACATATTTTGTAAGAGCAAATGATTGAATAAAACAAGCGAAACCAAATCTGGTTTTTTTTATAGCCCAAACCAATCATCACCAGAACGCTGTATATTCCCTTTCGGACTGTTGGTGCCACTTGGTTCCACTTGTGGGTCAGTAGGATTTTCAAGAACTTATGTCCCCACTTAGAGGGTGGAGGCAGCGATCTTAGTTTTAACGACTAAATTTTTTTTACTCGTGGGCGTGGGCTCATTCACAAGTTTTAACAAATCGTCTAATGAAAAATAAACAGCTTTGATTATTATATACTACCAATTACTAAAAATATGCTTAAATTCTCACATTAATACATTAAAAGTTTTTTTTGCTGTTGTGAAATCATTTTAAATCTTGTTTTTCTCTATGCGGCTTTTAATTATTTATAATTCACGCTAAACAAAACTTCAGAAGATAGAACGCAATATGAGCCTTCGAAATCATTTCTTTTTCCAAATTTTTCGGGATATTTTCCGGAAACATTTTCACTATTTGAAATTTTTCGGAAAATTACTCAAGAGTAAGGCTACCGCGGCATTTTTATTGACATTAACAGCGCAATTTTCTCAATTCAAAATATCTTTATTTCAAAGCTTACCTATTATTCGACTTGAAGTTATTAACATCATTACTTGAAATCGTCAAATTGATTAAACACTACAACCTACCTTGAGTAAAATGGTATTTGTTCGCATTTAACGACCCCGGTGACTCAACAGTTTGCACTGGGGGCGCTTGTACCGGGTGCGATTCCCGGTAGAATTAATTTGGGAAATGAACTTTCTGATTTGATTCAGAACTGTTCGATATTTTAAAGGGTGTTTTCCGTGCTATTCAGGAACTGTGCCCTAATTATGTGGTTCAATTACAATATAATAATACAAAAGTGGCACAACTGAATACAAATGTGTCTTTTAGTTCTATTCATGAGTCAAGTATTAAGAGTTTACTTAATACTTGTACAGTGCAGCAGTGTAGATTTCCACTCGATCATATGATCGAATAACGCAAAGTGTAATATGGTGTAAACAAATTTATTCTACATTTTAAAACTTATTTCTATAAATACACTTTATAATCGTATGTATTAAATGTACACAGATCAAAAACAATCTACTTCAATACCATACAACTTAGGATTCGTGCATCATGCATCAATTAGATAAAATGAGGAACGAAAAAAAGTACTTTTTTAAATTAGCGCATACATAACACAGACTTATAAATGGAAAGCAGACCAAACCTATCAGGATAAATTTTCAGGATAGTTTTCTCTATCTAATTTCACTTTTCTACTAATTTCTACCTAACACTTTTAATTTTTTAAGTATTCTAGTAGGTATATTATCGTGCCATATTAAATAAAATTTCAGGATACTAACTACACTCAAATATTAAATAATACCTTCATGATAATATTCTACAATATTAAATAATATTAATTGCCACCGAAATTAGATACAGAAAATTAACTTTAAAATTACTCATAAATAAACATGCGTGGTCACTGCGATGCACGTCGTATGTCGCTTAATACATTAATGTTGTCAACTTACATTTGACAAACTCGTTCACGCAATACTTAAAATTACATTAGCTAAGTTTATACTTTCGAATTTCAAAACATTCGTCAAGCTGAAAAGTGTTTCCACATTAGCTGCGTTAGTATTTGAAACAATGAATAATAAAATTAATTGTCCTATCTGCTGATATGAACCTTCAAACAAGCAGTTTTATTGAATTTTCTAATAAGATTGTCATACCAGTCGCTTAAAAAAATGGCGTCTGCCGTGCATTTAAGTTTGGCTTTATGTGAGTCGGTGTACCAATACAAGTGAAAAAAAGATATAAATACATACGTTTTGTTCTCGAAAAGAAAAGGATACTGTGACTCTAATATGTATGTATATGTGAGCGTGAAATTAGACAATCCCACATTATGTTGCTCTGATCCCAAGTAACTAAAGCACTTGTGTTAATCAATAAAAAAAAGTAGCAGTAGAGCTCCTTATGAAAGAGTTCGTCCAGGGTAGTACTGCCACCTTACTTATTTCTGCCGCCAAGCTGTAATGCCAGCACTACTGTGTTCCGGTTTTGAAGGGTAAGGGCAGATCTTTGCAATTTAAAGCTCTGAGTGGTACTGTAACTGTAGTGGTGCCACTTACAGTTACAGTCTTGTTCGTCCCGTCACTTGATGTTATAAAAAAAAAATCGGAAACAACAACGATATCACAAACACCCAGACCCGAGACAATATAGAAAATTTAATTTTTCACACTGACCCGGCAGGCCATCGAGATGGCGACACCATGAAAACCGGTGTCGACTCGACGTGGACGAAACTCGACCGAGGAGGTTGTCATTAATTATTGTTTAGTCGGCTTCCCATTTATAAGTTTGTGATACATAATAAGCTGTGGTCGGAATTAAGGGTGTTAATCTATCTGAAATACGAATATTTTCTTAGTATGGACATACTCATTTCGTCATCAATGCGCATAAAATTTCCTTTTTTTACTGTATATTTTCTAAACATTCCAAAATGTAGGTTGTTGTTTTTAATTTTTTAAATGGCTGAAGTGTATAAATACGTAAGTACCTATAGAAACACATCCATAATATTATTTTTGAGACAACAATTCGTAGCAAATACTTAATACGAAATAATAATACGCATATTCAAATATAATCATTTCCGAGAAATCCCGGGATTTGTAAAAGGGAACGTCCACCTTATTCTATAGTCTAGCTAAATTAACTTCCTCAATTCCGATCACTGATAATAAGATATTTATAAAGTTATCAAATAGACAATGTCAACTGTCAAAAGACAATGAATTTTATTTTTTCTAATTCCTGTTCCCATATTCAGTTTCATGTATGTTTACAATTGTCTTTAATGTATTCTAAACGAAATACAAAACTAAAACAACGAATTCCACTTACGCATTGCCAACGGCATGCTTGGCCTTAAATATTCTTAGGGTGTTATCGCACGAACCACTTACAAGAAGGGATGGATTCGACCAATCACAGCACAGTACTTTGTCTTCGTGCCCGCTTAAATCGTAGAGAGGGGTCCGTGGACTGAAAAGAGCGCATTTTACATGAGTTTTTGAGAAAATTTCCGATGACAGACCGTCGTTCTTTTTGTAATTTATTTATTCAAAACACAATACTTAAACTAAAACTTATAGTAAGACAAGTTTCAAAAATCGCCAAATTGACTGGCCACCTTTATTATGAGTGCAACATACAACCCAAGTAGAAATTTTCTAAAACTTGTTTGCAATTCTTAACATTCGTAAACATATCTTTATGCAACTGTACAGGACCCAAAATCAATTAATTTTCTTGAAACTACGTGTCATTGTAATTCCATTATGACTCTAATGATTTTATTTTATTTTTAATGTGTTGAGATAACTAAACGATTTTTTAAAGAAGGATGGCGATATCCCGTATATTTTGGGACCCAGTGTTTTTCATGGCGTGCATTAAAGAGACTTATCAACGTGTGATTCATTGTATCAAAAAAGCTAATTGAGTAAAAGTTAATACAGCCTGTAGAAGCTGGGGATTATAAACTTGATATAGGTTATGTTTATAATATTGTCCTGTATTTCGCTTTAGAGTTCGTGTAGCAAAAAACGACAAGTTTTCTGTTTGTTCCTAAAAATAATAAAGAACTTGCCTAATGTTTCTAAATCTACCAAACTCTCGACACATTTTATACAACGTTAACATGTTCTGTCGCAACGGAAATGTATAAAAATTAAATCTGCCCAAATGACAGAAATCTGCCATAAATGGGCACACTGTTTTCCATGTCAAAGTGACATTGACATTGGCAAGAGGCCTCTTATCAAAATGTTCCTTTGATAACTTTCCTATCTCTCATTTAAATATTTTCTAAGCATTTTTGTCCTATCATGTTTTATTTTTTACTTGTCATTATTGTTTAATTGATTATTTGTTTAGGTATTTTATAGCTTTAATGTTTTATGTGTGTACTAAAATATAACCAATTCTTTAAGTAGGTAAACATTCAATCATGCATGTATTCCTCAATTTTACTATGTATTTTTTCCCAAGTGATTGATTCAACACTTTCACTGTTATGCGGAATCAATCAAAGCCATTTGAGGATGTCGATACAACTCTTAAATATATATAATACGTGAGGCGCACTATAAGTTACCGGAATTAATAAGATAAAAATACTATAAATGGTTAGAAATGAATTTGTTTCTCAAAATATTCTCCGTTAGCGTTAATGCACTTTTTCATACGAATGAACCAATTTTGAAAACATTTATGCCACTCCTCCGTGATAATCTCTGAAACATATTTTTCATACTCTTCGACAGCCTCATCAGTTGATGAAAAACGTTAACCGCGTAACTGGTTCTTAAATTTTGGAAAGAAATAAAAGTGACAAGGTGCCAGGTCGGGACTGTACGCGGGATGACTAATAAGGTCAACGTTGTTCACCTTCAAAAACTCATTTGTCTGTCTGGCCGTGTGAGAATTGACATTATCGTGGTGCAAGATGATACGTTGAAGATGATACGGCGTTTACGGTTATTTTTACGGAGTTTGTTAATAACTTCCGGCAAACAAATGGTCGTGTACCAATCACTATTCACGGTACAATGATCTCCAAAGCAACAGTAGCCACGTGTCCATTTTTATTAAAAAAAGAAACAATCATCCGCTTAGAGGCACTTCACACGCGCGCCACTTTGGTTGGTTTCGGCTCATCTCGAAAGACCCGTACGCTCGATTGCTGCTTTGGGATCGTAACTATATATCCATGTTCATCACCTGTTACTATGACCTAAACCAAATTTGACGGACCTTCGTTGAATCTGGTAAACATGGCATTGCACCAAGTGACGCGATCCGTTTTTTGACCCTCATGCAATTTGTGTGGGATCCTAAAGATGCCCGAATCTCATGGTATGTCATATGCCTTTCTGTTTTGATCATACGGCGCACAGCATCGATGTTTTTGTTGTTCACATCAGTGGACCATCACGAAATTCGTCACTGAGATTCACACGACCGCGTTCGAATTCTGCAAACCAGCTATAAATAGTCGTCTCGCATGGTGCTTCATCACCAAAAGCAGTTTAAAGCCGAGCGAAACTCCGCTGAGCTGTTAAATTACGCTTGAAGTCGAAGAAAATCATATCACGAAAATTTTCACGAGTTAAATCCATGGTGATGTAGACAAACAATTTCTAAAATGACGCCACAATGTAAAAACAAGTGACAGTCAGATGAAATAAACTGTATTCTACAGCCAAAGAGTTCCATTTTCAAATGTTGTAATTACTTTTTAAATATTGTTTATGTAAGTGGCCAGTTCCGGAAACTTATAGTGCGCCCTGTGTATTAGTAGACTACACCATTGACGTGTCATCAACTCACCATTGAAGTGCAGAATTACATAAAATTGCAATGGCAATTGAATAGTAGCTCGACGGCTAACCACTGATAAGCCACTGCACTTTTAGTAGAATACTAAACGTACAAAATCCTGGCATTGACACTCACAACTAAGATGATTTAACAGCCTTGGGGCCCGGGTATTTTGTTTAGAATGTCCGGCAGTATGTACTTCGCATTCCTCATATCGTATGCATTAGTGGTTCTGGGCAGTTGATATGCAGGTATGTAAGTAAGGATACGTAATCGACTTATCCTGTTTGTTAATTCAAATGACCTTGGACAGCATAAAATGGTGACTAGTTGTTTGTGACAAAATAAATAAAAATGCTTTATTTCTATTGAAATAAAGCGGTAAAAATAACGTTAATTTGTCAAGTTTCAGCGCTTTAACAGTGTTAAATCTTTATTACATAATTTATTGTTAAATTATATATGTTAAATTATGTGTTAAATTATATAATTTATTTTTTATTTTACATTATATTTATGTATATAATCTTCATTCACCACTTAAAAATCAGTGACAGTGACTGCGTTAACTTGCCAAATGTTATGTGAACTTATAAAACCTTGGCTTGGTGAAACGTGTTAATAAAAGTACAGAAAGGTGGCTGATAAGTTATTTTTCGGCCCAGAATTGGTGGCAACGAAAATGGTGAGATCGGGAAATAAAGGAATCTTCCCCCTAACCATCTAACCAAAAAGTATGTCTAATATTTTTTAAACCCATTTAGATCTCATTTCCGAAATTGAAACGTAAGAATGGATGTAGACATATATGTATATAACTACACAATTTGACATTTCATACTGAACATTTCAGGTAGACTTTTAGGTAGACATCATGTCTCAGTGTTTTTAATAAATTTCAATCTCCGCATGCTGAGATTGAATTTGAACTGACCTTCTAGTTTCCCAAAGCTTGACCTGTCCGTCGTAGCTAGCAGACAGGAACAAGGTGTCACGTGTTTTGGACCAGCGCACCGACTGTACCCAACCAGTGTGAGATGTGAACGTCGTCCTTACAATACTTTCTAGAGAACAGACGCCAAAATCATCAATGAATTGCTAATGTTGTACATATTAAATAAAAAATAAGCGTAAACTTATGTAACTGGTATATCTTTAAAAAAACTTAAAAAGGTATTTGACAGGTGGCGTTACAAAAAAAAGTTGTTAAAACCAAAAGCAAATGTCTGCAAAAAGCTCATAGAGAAATTCGTAAGATCTGCCGACTCATTCCGTAGTTCAATTGGAACAGCTATAGGCCCAGTTTGGGGAAAAGTCGCTGATTCGAGTACAACCAGATCAAAGGAATTTTCTTTGTTTGTTTGATATTTGTATCAATGATAATACCTTTCAGGCCTACTCCACTAAAGAAGAGTTGTTTAGTTTCACGTAGCAATTGAACAAACTTTTAAAAATACGTCAGTTTATAAATGAAGACATTGTATATAAAACTATATGCACACACAAAATGGTAATTTATGTGATGTACATAATGAAAGGCATTAAAATACGAGTGTGGGTTTATGAAACGAGGCGACAGGCGAGTACTACACACTTACAAATGCTTTTAGTAGACTTT